TAAACTACTTAATAGTTACTGTATTGTTGGTAACTGTATTAAAGGTACAGTGTTATAAGAGAATTATTATTACTACTTTTTTGTAATTGTGATAGAATTTTAAGACCTCATGGTTGACACACCTCCTTAGACCTTAGGTGTGTTACCTCATGAGGCTGATAGGCCTTGTGGGACTCCCATTGTCGTACAAGTGAATTGTCTTTATACAAATAACTTGCCTGTGATCCTGTATATGGTGTTTCCCTGTGAGTGAGTGCTGGGGCCTCTGCACTTGGGTCTCTGAGTTCCAGGAGACACAGGTATGGCCAGTCCAGATACTCCCCAGTCCACGTGGCCAAGCATCAGTCCTGAGTGCATTACAGGCAGGTCAGCCTAAACTCCGGGTGCATGTTTATGCTTTCTCCATCTGAAAATGCCTTTTTGTTGAACGGTTATTTTTAGGAAGAACTCAGACCAGTATTTTTTTCCTTCTCTCCGTAGGTTCATTGTACTGACGACCTCAGCTGGCATCATGGACCACGAGGAAGCAAGACGAAAACACACAGGAGGGAAGATCCTGGGATTCTTTTTTTAGGGATGTAACAGTACACACAAATAAAATGCCTCAGTGGACTCTGCCGCTTCCCCTCGGTTGTTTTGCGTTTTTGTATCAGTGCAGCGAAAGCTTCTGTGGCTTCTGTTAATTAGTGGATGCTGTTTCCATAGCAAGGACGAACCTGAAGTGAACAGAAAAAGTCTTAACTTGAGATTACTTATACATACCATTACCATCATAGCCCAGTAGAGGAGGATGGGTTGGATTGGGGTTGGTGGTCCAGGTGGTGAAGTGGTCCCTTGCTATAATCCTAGTTACCCCTGGGAGGAGTGGTGCCTTCTGTTGTTAATTGCTCTGAAAATTGGGTTGGTTAAGTATGGAACTGCTCCGTAAGGAAGCAGGCAGGTAGCAGGAACACGTGGAGCCGCGTGTAGTTGGGGTGAGAGCTGGTGTGTGTGCCTGAGGCCTTGCGGGTAGCATGGATGAGGTGGCACTGGCTCATCGCAACTCCCACGGAAGCTGCTCGGTGCAGGGTTGGTTGCTCCAAGGGGTCTGTGTATAAAAAGGAATCCCTGTTCTCTACCACCAGAGAAAGTCAGGCACTGACAGACTGGTGATACCTTGTCATGGAGCCTGCTTATTAAATGATGCATGCCTTTGTTACCTCCAAGGAAGCAAGGGGAGGAGAGGTGGGGCCTGCTTCTGACTCAGCTTGGTCATCCCAACCCACTAGTGCAGATGCTCCTTAGTGAGGTGATTGTCATTGTGGGCGAGATCCACTGGGCTTTACATCCAAAACTCGTTCTGAAGCCTGTGGCCGACTAATGCATGCTCAGTGAATTTGCGTAGCATGTCAGTAGCATTTTAGCAGTGTATTCATAAGATTATCTTAGGTTGGTTTATTGAAGCAACTTCAGAAACTGCTGTTTCACTGTAAATTTGTCATAAGTTAGGGAAATCATTCCTCAGTTTTGTGTGGAACTTTGTGGAGAACGTAATATGCCTGATTGCCTTGTGCCTGAACTGTTAAAGGGTTGCAAGGGTAAAGTGGTGAAGGGATCCTGAAATCTGGGAGAATGACACTTTGCTGGAGCACTTCACCTGTGGAAGGTGCTTGGAAAGAGCTCAACTCGGCTGCCATAGAGAAGAGCAACTGCTCAGGGAGGCAGTAAAACAAAAACTGGGTTAAGAGCCTGGACTTTGGACTCAGGTGATACCCACAAGTCACTGTTACCTTGAACCACTTGCCTGCCCTTTGCATCTGTTTCCTCGTCTTTAATAATAAGGACAATACAGACTAGAGAGATGTGCTGTGATTACATTGTGATTCTAACAAATAGTGCTTGTAAAGTGTTGGTCAGATATTCAGGCACTGGTGGTAAGAGGGCATTTTCTCTGGATAATTCTGGCCTGATGAATTTTAAGCTGAGGTGATGGGTGTGACTCCCAGGGGCTGGTGTGAGAACTTCAGAGTGCCTTGTTAATGTGAAGCCTGGACCTTGGATTGAGGGACAGTGACTTAGTAGAGATCCATCTGCCCAACAATAGGTCTGTAACGTGAGCAAGAAACAACTTTTTTCATGTATATGCTGAAACACTTTTTTTTTTTTTTTCCCAATCTAACCTAGCCTACCTCAACATAAAAGTGAGGGCTTTCTTGGGTTATGGTATGGAAGAGTATGGGATATACAATAATAGGAGGGGTTAGCGCGACTAGATGTCTAGAGCTTGCCTGTGGCACCCTCTATCTCTGTGGCTTTTTCCACGACCTGCTTCTGTTACCTATTTTAGTTCCCTTGTGCTGCTACAATAAATAGCACAAGTTGGTGGCATTAATGAACAGAAATTTATTTTCTCACAGTTGAGACTGGAAGTCTGAATTCAGGGCACTGGCTCTTTAAAACAAACTCACTGTGGTCAAGTCAGTTCCAACTTGGTTTTCTGAGGTGGTATCTACAAGGAAGTAGATTGCCCAACCTTCCAAGGAGTGGCTGATGGGCCAGAGGAAGGCTTTTCTCTCTGTTGGCTATGAGGAGAAGTCCTTATCTCCTTCAGGTTCTGTTGTCAGTTCCTTGGTGATTTTCATATGGTGGGACATCTATCCCCATCTGTTTCCTTGCTTCTGCCAAGTCTTTTTATCTCAAAGGTGATTGGTTTAACACACATCTTAACACTAATATGACCCTATTAACATAAAATTACATTCCCAAATGGCATTACAAGTATATAGGGGTTTGCAGTGTAGTAAATTATAAATTACATGGTCTGGCTTTTCTAGCAGTAGTCTTTGTGACTCCCCCTTGGCTGTGAGCATCTGAGTAGCTGATGTTAAAGTTACCCACCTGGTGTATTTCTGTTGGGAGCAGCATGAAGCGATCTGGGAAGTTCACTTTCTGTCAGGTGTATAGAATTCTGACGTTGGGATTGGTTGGTTTTGGCCACTCTGCCAGGCTCAAAAAGGAGCTCTCCTAGAACCAGGAGGGGAACATCTCTGCCGGTTGAGAGGTGTGATGAGAAAGACTGTTGGCTGCTGAGTGAGATGGCCAGCTGGGAGAGACTGTGTTCCTAAACTTGAATTGTAGCCTGTTGCTTCCCTAACAAACCCCATAATCTGTGAGTTCTGTGTGGCCACTGCAGTGAATTGTTGAATCTAACAGAAAGGTGGTGGGTGCTGAGGGAGGAACAGTTGGTGTTGGGGTTGGTGAAAGGGCTGGAGGGAGGCAGCATGTCTGGCCTGCAGGAGTAGGCCTTGGGCTACTGATGATCATCTGAAGATGCCGTCTCTTTGCAGGGTTAATATTCTAACATACTGTGGTAGCTAAGCTTGTCAGCTTGGCTGGGCGTGGTTGAGTGGTTGGGCAGCTGGTGGTAGTTATTCCTCACGATGAGACTGGCAGTCAACTCCGTGGTGGGATCTACCACAAGCAGCTGAGTAGCTGCTTTAGGGATGGGGTCTGCTTCCCATATATAAGCAGCAGCTTTGGGAATGGTCTCTAGCTTATAACATACTTGAACCCTGCATGTAGCTGAGTTGTTCAACAGCCTGCCATGCCCTGCTCATCTTGGGACTTCTGGAGGTGAATTAGTGGCCTGCCGTGTTTGGTGGTAACATTGGGACTGTCCCTTTTTACTTGTCAACCTTGGGCTTGTCAACCTCAGCAGCCACTAGCTGAGTGAAGAAAAGCCTCCAGCCTGGCACTTATGAACTCAGTCTTACAGCCTCCAAACTGTAAGAGAATAAGCTCCTATTTGTTAAAGCCATCCCATTTGTGGTATATTCCTGTCAGAGCAGTACTAGGTAACCAACATTTTGGGACAGAATTCAATGCATAATCTCCATCCACTTCGTGGTTCTTAAATACTTAAAACCCTTCCCTCTCAACTCTCTGACATACCAGTTCCTAGTGGGCACCTGGGGATCTCTGGTGACGTAGTGCCTAAGGCATTTGACTACAAACCAGAGGGCTGGCGGTTCAAACCCATCAGCCACTCCTTGGAAGGAAAGTTGAGCAATCTACTTCCATAGTGATAACTGCTTCTGAAACCTAAGGAGGGGTGGCTATGAGTCGGATCTGACTCGACGGCAGTGAGTTTGGTTTTTTTTTGAGTGGACACCTGACTGATTAAACTGAGTTGAAGATGACTTAGGATATTTTGAACATGGGAGATTGGAGGTTTATCTCTAAAATGATGGAAATTACAAGATAGGAACCTTAGGTACAACTGATTGTCCATAGCATATGCTGTGTAGAAAAGGTACCTTACAGGGAGGGACAGCAGGACTTTGTGAGCAGCAGAGATGAGCTGGATTGAATCCTTGGGCTTGAGTCAGTGCTTCCAGTTTGAGACAGCTGCAGCCCTGCCTTCCCGTGTTTATCTTCGTGAACAGGAAACTTTTTCTTTTTAATTTTCATTTTTATTGTGACTTGGGTGAAAGGTGACAGAGCAAATTCATTTTCCATACAGCCTTGCACATTTTGTTTCATGACATGGAAGAAACATTGTTTTTAATTTAAAGTGCTTTGAGCCAGATTCCAGTAACTTGCATGTAAACTAACACAGTTCTATTTCCAACTTGTTCTTTAATCTGCTCTGGGACTTGTTGGGGCTCAGTCTCCTCTCCTGTAAAGTAGGGGCCGCCTTACTGGTCCTACTTGATTGTATCCGTGTTGTGTTGTAAACAACAGAAACCACTCTAGCTGGTTCAGTTCATTGAAGGATATAAGGTAACAGTCTCTGGCCGAGCCAGTGAATTTGCTTGGGGCTTTGCAGCTAGGAATGGTATCTTTAATTACAGGTATCTCTTGCTTTTGGAAAGTTTGCTTTACTTCACTTTTACAAAAGATCTAGATTTACAAAAGACCTGTTTTTGCTTACTGAAAGGAATCCAAAGAGGATTTTCACTTTTAGAGAAAAAGGCAAAACGTGAAACTAGCCTTCCTCACTTATGTCTTGGGGTGAACCTTTAAAACAAGGCAGCGGACAATCCTAGTGGTGAGTTAGTTAGTAAGCCCTCCCTGGGAGCTGCACTCAGCATCGAGCCTCTATCTATCTTTGAACTATGTAAACACTACCAGTCAGTGGTATTCTAGGCTTTATGTGTTATTTAGTATGATTTAGTATGTTCTTTTTTGGTTTGGGGAATGGCAAAATTTTTTCCCTTATAAATTAATGGTAATTGCTGTTCTATGCTATTTTGGCTTACGAAAGGTTTCATAGGAACACTCTGCTTCAAGGCAGCAGAGAAAACGTGTACGCCTCTGGTTGATGCCACTTCAACTGAGCGCACATAACTCGGCTCCCTCTGATCCTGTGTGCCCCCTGTACTCTTGTGTCCTCTGTCCCTGCTGTGCCAGAAGCTTGAGGTGTCTGTCACCTGTACTAGAGTTGGTTCCACACTGACTGGTTTCTTCATGTTACTTCTGATGCAGGGTGGGCATTGGGTGCATTGGGTGTTGGGCGGCATCCTTTATCTCTGCCTTCTAGACGCCAGTAGCGCAGTTGTGACAACCAGAAATTTCTCCAGGCATTGCCGCATGTCCCCTGGAGGACAAAATCCCCCAGTTGAGAATAACTGATCTAGTGGATCA